GGGGGGGTTACCAACTGAGCCAACCTGCTCCGTCACAACGTGAACAGTTCACTTAACCTTTAAAAGCCAAAATGGTAGTAAGCTTCAGCTGGCCGGAGTTTATTTAAATGCCCACTGCTGGTGCGCATTTAAATGTCTGTTCCTGTTAGGGCGCTTAAACAATTATAAGCAATGTCTTTAAAAATGCTGTATCTAACATAATTTTTATGATAAATGGATGGAATTATCTTTGTTTGTATCAGCAAAGAACATAGTGTTGCATATTATAACGGATTATTTGAAAATTTCTGTACAAAGAATTATACTCTTTTTCAATTTTTTTTCTTTTATTTTGATACATACTGAAAAAAATATTTTTCCAGTTCTTCACAGAGTTGTTCTGCATTATAAATTCATTTCTGTTGGTAATACCTGACAAATTTTTAGCAGACCCTGGTGTCATAAAACAGATAGAAGCAATAAAATCATTTGGTTCTCTGCTGGGAAACCTTACATCTTGTTACACCCTTCAAATTTTCAATCTTTTGGCTAAAGGACAGAAGAATGAAAGAATGCTATTCAAGAAAAAGAGCTAGAGGGGCCCTTCTTCAGTGCCAAGACCTTCCGTTATAGCTGCAATAGATTATTGGCCTTTCTATGGGCGTGGACAGTTTCATCATGGCTGAGATACAGAGTGTGATCTGTTTTCTGTATGCTCACAGTGACATCGAATTCTGTAGTTTCATTTCAGCCTATATATACATCAAGCAGATAACAACGAAAAAGGTATGTACAGTGAATTTTACTATATATTTTTAACATTAATCTGCAGAATCTGCAATAAAAGTACTGGCTCGTGGATGAGTTTGGGCATGACTCATACGTATATTCTTTTTTGCTGTTGTTCACTTAGGTATCATTTTAATTCCTCTATTAGGGTTTTACTCAAGTCTGTCTGGTAATTACTACATATAAAAATAAATATTTAGGGCTGTGCATGCGCTTCTACTAGCGGCATGTGCGCACGCCTCCACTAGCAGAGTTTAAATGCCCGACTGGCCAAAACGGGGTACTTTGGCCATGACGACTATACTCATCACTGGCACAAACGGAGGACTTCGGACGTTAAAGGTTAAAGTGAGATGGATAAATCTATAGAATACACGAAGGATATAAGCACTTCATATAAATTATGAGTGGAAAATCATAAGGGAAGATAACTGCTGGGAGAGACAGAAATAGATATGAGGATGACATTAAAAAGGTGTTTCTGAAGCATGATGCAAAGATGCAACCTGTAATGAAGTGGCTCAAAATAAATTCAGGATTCTGTAATGATCATGATATATTTTTTGGCTCCAAACCGCAGAATTCTGTATAATGGAGTTCAGTCACTTTGTTTGTTAGTTATTTAAAAAAAAACTTCGCTATGTGTGTAGGTAGGTCAATAGGAAAACAGGAAGTGGGCCCAGAATTGAGAACTTGTCAGGTACCTGGATTGTTTTTTATGACGTTATAGAGAGCTTCCAGTGCCATAATGACATGCATCAATCTCTCTTTGTCCTCTGATGATAGTGAGACGCTCCCCACTGAGCCCAGGTGGTCAGACTGCTTCGCTAGGAACTCCAGCAGGTCGATGCTAAAGCCTTTAGGGTTCTGGAAATCATGTGAAAAGGAGTCAACATATGAGAGGTGAAGTTCTTATGATCACAATATTCTGAAATGTGCATAGTCTGGCAAATAGCTACAGGTATTCCTTGCTACATAAAAGCTGGTAAAGTGCTTAATTAATTAATCACCATGCCAAGAAGCCATATGAGGGAGTGAAGGTAATAGCTCCACAAACTCCAAAACCTTGGAACTAGATAGAGGTCAGCTTCACGCTCTAGCCAATTCAGCCCTGGTACCCACTGGATAGGAGGCTGGGCAGGCCCCACAGCCAGTCTGGACGCTGTGGAGAAAAGAAAAATCTTTTTTCCTTGCCAGAACTCAAACCCCAATTCATTGGCCATCCAGCCCATAGCCCACTGCTACACCAACTGAAGTATCCCAGCTCCTATTCCCTGTTATGACTCATTTTAAAGTGAGCAACCAGTTTGGACCAGTTTCAAAATGTGAACTGCCTGTGAGCTGATCAAGAATGGTCAAGACAAAGGGGAGTAAAGGTATGGTGTGGGTGGTAGAGGAGGAATGAAGGGGTGAAGGAGAAGTTTGGCCTAGTTGAGCAACCTCTTCTACTGATGTAGTTATCATGTATGCCCCCTGACTGTGTGGTGGTAGTGGTGTTCCATTTATGTAGACCTTATGAATATCCATGATAACTACATCAATATTTCAAGAGCTACATACACACAAAAACCCATGCTGCTGCACAAGTAATCCAAACAAAGAAAATCTACACAGCAGTGTCTGGATAAAGATACAACCCCTAAGCAAAATATTGGGGGGAAAAATTAACTAAATTTAAAGAGACTTTATAGAGTTTTATTGATTTTTTACTGTTTTTAATAGACTGCATTATTTTAAATTAGGACATACTGCATTCATGTGTGAAATGTGAAGCGGGATGTACCACACAGTGAAACAGTTTTGACAAAAGAACACCTGATGATGGCCACATATGGCCAAAACATGTTGTGAATGTGAAAAAGAGGAGGAGGAAATATGTTGCATAGTGAATAGAAATATACTGATGCAGCAGAATGCTTAAATATATCATCTTGTTAATATGCTTCTTAACTGGACATGTGATTTTGATTCAATGGTGACAGATTTATGTGCACATCTCACAGATAATATGCAATCAATTTCTTAGCAATGTTCATCATTCTTTATGCAAAGTAAATAATCATCAAGAAGGCAGCGCCATAGCTCAAGTGGTTAGTTGCTGGCTTCCCACAGTGGCGGCCCGGGTTTGATCCTGGGTCTGGTCAAGTGGGATTTGTGGTGGACAAAGTGGCGCTGGGGCAGGTTTTCTCCAAGTACTTCAGTTCCCCTGCCAATCTTCATTCCACCAATTGCTCCACAATCACCCTCACTTATCATCTGGGGCTGGTACAGTAGGCCAGAAGTGGCCGCAGTACAAGGGACTTAGTCCCACCCCACTAGCTTTAAAAAAGTATAATCATCAAAACAATTTATTCATGCTAAAATGATGCACATATTATTGGAATAAGAAGAAAGATGTACTGTACTGCATAAGGTAGTCACTTTAATTAATGACAAGAATACTCTCGACACTTCTTGTAGCAGATCTCAAACATTGCCATTCATTCTTATAGGGAAAATTTTGTTCAATTTATGCGATTTCACTCTACGTAACTTATTTTTGTAACACAACTGTCACATAACTGAGGAGCACCTGTACCAGTGTTTCAGAGGAACCTTTCATCTAAGTGATTCTCTCTTGTTGTGGTTCAAGTACATTCAATTCAAGCTCTGTGGCCTTATATCAGATCTGAGGTTTCCATGCCAGTAAAAACTTGGACTGTGATCTTTCCAGAGAGCTTATCACAATTTTTGAAGGACATGTCACCTCCCTCTTCAGGGCAGATGGAGGAAGCATATCCCTCTGTAACACTGGAAACTATTTAAAAGATTACACCGTTATCATAACCAAAATGGACATAAGATATTCACAAATAGTGACAAAACACTTCTACAGGCTGTACCAATCCACCAGGCTTACAGTACACAGTGTTCTATTTAAATCAAGCATGCCATATAGAAGACAAAAAGAGGTTAAAAAAAATAAGCCCTACTCACACACGAGTCAAGCGAAACAAAATTTGATAACACTAAAAACACATAAGGAATCAGTTCTGCCAATGTAAACACTAACTTGTATCGTGTAAGTGGGCTGCTGATTGTATATTCTCACAAAGATCTCCCCAACCACGAGCTCCTTCCTGTGGGCAGTGTACACAAACTCAATTCCACACAATGGGTCACTGCTGTTGGTGCCCATGCAGCACTGCTGGTCCAGGAATTCACACAGTTCAGCTCGTGTCCCATTGTTCCACAGCAAGTATGGAGTCTCACAGTTGCTGTTGAGCATCTTTAGGATCTGCTCAAAAAAGATTCAAAACTCGAGGTGAACTGTTTGCTTGTTCAGGATAATTAAAGGTTGCTCTTTACATGAATACAAGGTGAAGCCTCTTTTCTAATTTAGCATCTGAAATATCAACAATCATCTTAAATTCTGACTGCAAGAAAACAGTGATATATTCAATGTGTGTATATTATCCACAGTACTAAGCAGTGAATGTTTTTAGACTTGACAGTACAGCCATGAATAAGTTCATACTTAGGAAACCAGAAGTTATATTGTTTGCCTGAAGGCCAGCTATCTTGACAAAACTTCTATGGTCTGTCATTTCCACTTCTGCAAAAAAAGTCATAAAGACCAATACATAAAGATGAATTCTTGTTTAAAAAAGCCAACCATTACAACCAAAGCAAGAAGTTAAAGAAATAATTTTCAGAACTACGGCATACTATGAATTATTCACATGCAGATTATCCAGTTGGTGGTTCATATGTGTTATTTTGGGCACATCTGCAACCCTGCAGAGCTCCTATTAACACTTTGCGGACCGGTGGCACATTTTTATGCCCAGCGCTTTTAAATGTGGTGGACCGGTGGTATATTATTATGATTTTAGGACATGTTATGTTGAAACACACTATACCTTGCACCGGCGCCAGGCAGACGCATGACTGGTGCGTGATAGACCTCTTGAATGTTTGCTTCATAGTCAGTAACATGACCCTGCTGTTTATGACCCAACTGTTTTCCTTTCCCACTCCAAAAGAAAATGCCTTTGTTCATCTTCCAGCTGCATGCACCAGGCAGGAAGTTACTAGTGCAAAATGGACTGAGGTTGGAAGAGGTTGAGGTCCAAGCGTTTTCTCGGAGAACAAGAAATATCTGACTTGTGCTCCGATGAGCTATCTGACGTCCCTTGTGAGTCTGCTAGTGGTAGCGACTCATAATCTGATAGTGAGTGTGGCAGGAGCGAACAAAAATTGTGGCCACAGACAGTGAAAGTGATAGTAGCTCTGACGAAAGTGCAGGTAGCAACATTGCAGGGACAGCCACATGGGGAAAAGTAGACAAAATGCCTGCTCTGGGACAGTTTACTGGAAATCCAGGGGTGAAGCAAATTCCATCAGACCCACCGCAAGTGTCTGAAGTAGTGGAACTGTTTTTTGGAGATAGTTTCTTTGACATGCTATGACTCTCAGGTGATATGCGGAAACATACCCTCATGAAAATTGTGAAGAGTGAACATGCCAAGGGGAAGCAGCCTTCTAGGTGATGCCATCTTTACGCAGTACATAACAAAAGGAGTATGACTGTCTTCATGTGCAAGTTCTGTGTAATGCCACTTCACAAAGGGGAATGTTTCCAGAAATATCACACTCTCAAGCACTTGTAGGAGTATTGGTAAGTGTTCTCCAAAAATTTTAGTTCATAAAATTAATTAGGAGATTTTATATTAATTTTTATAGTGAACAGTGGACAAGTTAGGGTAGTAGGTTTAAAAATGCCGGCCCCCAGGGTGATTTAAATATTTAAATCACCAGTCCGCGAAGTATTAAGTTTACTGTCCACCCACCAGCTGCACAGTCAGATGCAGGAAAGAGAAAATCTCTTTCACTTGCTCCTTACATTTTTATACCTGTGCCATCTCTTTCAGACCCTGAAGATAAAACTTTTCATTTATAAGAATGGAACACATGAAATACAAGGGGCTTCTTTCTTTTTTTTTTTTATTTCACAACAAAAAATTATTGTGTGTAAATTACATTAAGAAATAAAGTGTATAAGATTCAGCAACACCGTCTCTGAGATCTACTGACCTCTTCAGGTTTGTCCAAGCTCAGCTGTCGAGCCACATATGGTGTCAGGAGTCTGTTGAGGATTTCCTGCGTCACAGAATTGTATGGCGACTCCAAATCTCCTGTCAAGTAGCCTCCAAGCCTGGCACATGCCCGCACTGCCAATTTCGCAAGTTTATTTGCCACTTCCTGAAACCAACAGCTGAAGATCAACATAGTGCCATACTTCTAAATCTCATTCATTTACAGCTGTCACTGATGCAAGTACATCAGTGGATCATAAACTGGCATCTGGGCTATTTCATAATCATTGAGAAACTGCACTCTTATTTACAGTGCATTTATCCAAAACTCTTATCAAGGTTACCTCCATATATGTGTGAAAATATTAGGGATCAGTACTGTGGATTCTGACATAACAGATCAAGTATAGTAAACCCTTGATAATCCAGTTACAGTTAATCCAGATGTCAGTTAATCCCGATTAAAATAAGAAGAATGCTGTTCAAGATTGAGCATTTAGGAACGCATATGAGTCACTTGTCTCTTCAGACAACACAGCATTTACGGAGGCAGATGAGTCACTTGTCCATACAAAACTTGACAGTTTCTTCAAGCCTGCACTATTACATTCAAAAACGAGTACAACTTCTGAGTTTTCTATCAATGAATAAATATGTTGTCTTTTCATAGTTTTTAAATAAAGGGCTCTACAGTGATTTTTGTTATTTATTTTCACCAGCATCACTCACATCATTACATTTTCCATTTATTTGTGTTCTAAATTTTTTTTAAAGCTAGCTTTTTTGCTTAATCCAGATAACCTCCCGCTCCAATTACTCCAGATCGGCAAGGGTCTACTGTAGTGGTCAGATACAGTAAAACTTGGTTATAGCAACATCGGTTTCTGCGACACCTTGTCTATTGCGTCAAATATTCAATGGTACGAACTAATTCCTCATAAAGCTACTGTTTTTATACCTTGCTTACTACGACATGCACAAATGCATCAACCTCGTATGTAACGTCATTTTCATTCCTGAATTTCATTGATATCGTGGGAAAATTCGATGTGTCTGCCCACCCTCACTTTCTCTACTTGCTGACGTGAATGTCCTGGAAGAATACCACCGCGCAAGAAGAGCGTGGGTTTTATGCGAAAACAAGGGTGTGGGNTGAAGAGAAAGTTAAAGTGATTCGTGAAATATTGTGTGTATTGTCAGTGAAAAGCGCTGTAATATGTCTTTGATATTACACATTTGGGCAATTCCACGTTAATGTTACGTTAGTCTGTACTTAACTACGTATTTCACTAAAAAATGCAACATTTTAACTCGGTTTTTGGTAGATTTTTACGTGACTAACATAAGGCTACTGTGGAAGTGCCCATTTCGGTTACAACGACATTCGTTTATAACGACACTATTCTTAGGTCCCTTTGATGACGTTATAACCAAGTTCTACTGTATTCTGCATTCTTCAGATACTAGAGATAAAACTGGAGTACAATGGGACAGTGCACTGGCTATTTACATATTTAAAAGAGCCCACAATTCAGTCACAAGAGATGTTTTGTAGATGAACCTCCTACTAAAGTCTGTGAATTAGAATTTGCCTCCAAAGCCATAAGATCAAGCCTTTGGATTGTTTTTAAAAAAAAATTAGGCCTCTGAATCCATTCTGAGATAGACAGGCTTCTGGTTTTATTCTTAAATTATTTAAAAAGCCTCTACAGTTAGGCTTTGGGTTTTATTTGTATAAATACCCTTTACAGTTCGCAGCATCAATATGGTGCAGAAATGGTGGGAAGGTTTTCAAGAGACTTAAGTCACCTGTTCATATGTGAGTATCACGATAATTTACTGGATGAAAACACAAAAGCACAGAAACCCCATTAGACACTAGCAAAGTCCAAACAGATAAATATTTCTCATGCACTTCCTGCTCTATACAAGTAATTAAACAAAATAAACAAATTTTTGTCTGTATATTCACATGGTAATGATATAAAAACATGAGGGGCTTCATTTCCCTGCTATACTTGAACTTGCAAGACCTTCAGGAAACAAAAGGTGATACCTGCTGGTTTGCCTCTTCGCTGCGCTCCACGCCACCCTCCTCAAGGGTGAAGTCATAACTGAACATGAAGAGCAGTAAATGCCAGAGGACCCCTGCTTGCAACAGCATCATCTGCAGCATGTGGTCCACAGCAAGTGAACTCACACACTCTGTGGCCACAGAGCAGAGCCGAGTCAGGTGCTTGAAGTATAGGATGTGGCAAACATCCTTCACCAACTGTGGCATCTCCATCATCACTTCTCTGCACCCCCGGAACTGGGCTGCTACCCCAAAGCAACGTGTAATGTGTGTGCACACCTGAACGCTCACCTCACTGGTTTTGGACGATGCACTCAGCACAGACACACAGCGTGAATATGCATCCAGCAGTACCTAGAATCAAAGTATCTTGCTACTAAATAATTCAAGCAGTGACTGGTCAACAATAAGAACACCCACATAACCAAATAAGCAAGCAACTATACTGGAGCCGTATCTTCTGTGAGTTGTTATGCTCCTTACAGCAGTTTTCTCTCATTTGTTGTTCACCATTTTTAATGGTGTTCTGCGGATCTGAGTAACCATCTTCCTTGGTCGCGCCACAGCTCAAGCGGTTAGTCGCTGGCTTCCAACCGCAGCAGCCCAGGTTTGATCCCAGGTCTGGTCAAGTGGGATTTGTGATGGACAAAGTGGCGCTTGGGCGGGTTTTCTCCAAGTACTTCAGTTTGCCCTGCCAATCTCCATTCCACCAAATTCTCCATCATCATAATCACCCAGGGCAGGTACAATAGGCCAATCAGTGGCCGCCATGCTGAGTGGACCCAGCTGGACTCCACCCCCCACTAAGTGAATTTACAAAAAAAAAAAAAATCTTCCTTACAACCAGCCTATATAACTTGACTGTGTCCTCATTCCACTCAATTCAGCACAATCCTTCAAAATGGTGATATTCACCTATAAGACCACCAACTGTGACAACCCAGAAAACAACAATCTGAATCACACTGGATATTTACTGAATGTGACAAACAGGATGAACTGCTAGATCAGTATTTTAGTTTGTAGTCAGAAGCAAGTAATACATAAGACATTTGTGTAGCCACTCACATCAAGTCCCTTCTCCCGTCTCAGTTCCTCAGCATTCAGGGCAGAGCAGTGCACTGTGTGATATGCCAGCTCACTAGCAGCAGCCAGCAGGGGGGCAGACTTTGAGAACAGCTGATCATCGGCTGTCTCAAGCTGTATGGTCTTGATTAGCTGAGGATAACCAGCATACTTGTATGGGTGCAACTCTGAAACACAGTGCACATATTGGCAACACTGCACTTAAAGACATAAACTGAAAAAATAAAATATTATTTAACAAAAACTTGCAAAAATGTGCTGGAAGTTTCATCATATGTCTGTCTGCCAACATGTAACAATTTGAGAACGCTAAACAGATTTTCATGAAACCTGATAATGCATACTGTCATGAGAAGGTGGTAACCCTTAACGGGGTTTTGGGTTGGATATTGCATTCATTGACAACTTCAACACACAACTTGTAATTACACTTAAATATAGTACTATTGATGATCTTCACAAGTTACAAATCACTCGAGCACACTAGTAAGTCTTTTCCAACCTGCCGTGTCTTCACTAGTAGTTGCCTGGTAACATCTTCTAACAATGGCTATTCCTCTGCTTCCGGGCTCAAGACCTCTGTGAATGGCAGCTCCCTTCCAACTCCGTATCTCCCTTACACCTGACTCGCAGCCATATCACAACAATCTCATTGTGTTCTCTTCACCCTCTGACTATCTACTCAGCACTCTTGCAACTCCAACTGAGTCTCCTCTTCAAAGACTGACTGACTGAACTCTGACCTTTTCCCTTGCTTATAACAGCTCAGCATAGACCACACAGAAAACACTGTTCCTCTATTGCATGCATATCCATTGCCACAGGAACGTGTTTACTGAGCCATTCCCTAGCAGCAGTTGTCTATTCTTGCTTATTAAGAATCCCCTGCCTAGCAATGGACATCAATCTGTTGTCTGTTTCGGGGCTGTTGCCTAAAAATAAATGTTGCTTCAGAGCAGTTGACTAGAAACGGCTGTTGCTTTGAGCAAATATACCGCAACACATTTCCTGACATGTGCAGTATACACAGGCAGCCGATATTTTGCATAGAATCATCAGTCAGCAGGAACTGTTCCTGTGCACAGTTACAGATGAGGTTTTGACATAAAGATCTAAGTGGCTCCATAATTAGAGAAAGAAAAATTGTTTCAACAGAAACTAGTCTATGGGCTGGACTACCATGAATCTGGGATTGATTCCCGGCAGGGGCAAGCATGCTGACCAGCTCCATGGCCCACCCAGCCTCCCATAAAATGGGTTTAAAGTGATAAGGATGTGAAGCTGACCACCCACCTCCATCTAGCACCGTGAAGTTATACCTCCAGTGCCCCATACATGTTCAGAGCATAATGCTTAATTAATTAGGCACAGAGATAACTTCAGTACTTGTACCCAGCACTTCTTCTGAGCCTGTACACAAACCAGCACACAACTGACGCACATTGGCTAATGTGTTAAAAGTTGCAAAGTTGCACATCTGACAGAAAATTGTGTGGTTTGGGCCTGACACTAGAAGTATGGATGAGACCACTAAAAAACATGATTGCAGAACTACAGAGCCTCTTGGACACTCCACTGAGCCTAATGATGGAACAGATGATGGATATTATCCTATTAAGAATTCACCAAAAATGAAAAAAATTCTGCAAACTCACCTTCTGAGTAGCGATGGAACAGAATGCTCTGGGTCCTCAGGATCAACACTACATTGTCAGGGTTTGGTCCCTGACCAGCCCAAGAGCTACGGCTGCAGAGGAACTCATACGCTCTATTTACACTCTCAAAACGGTCCTGCAAGAAACATGGGAAGAGCTTATCGCTCCATCACAATGCTTAAAGCAGCCTATCTGGATGCTTGGATGTGGTCGCAGAGTCGGAACACAATCCTGGGAACACTCAAGCAGTAGCAAACACCTCTGTTGATGGAAAAATTTGGTTACTTTCTAATTTTATCACATTTTAAATTTATGGACTAGAACTTATTTTTACTTTATTGCAGACGTGACTTTTGTATGAAGCAATTTCCTTCTGCTCTCTGTATCAAATTTAAATTAAAGACAATGGTTAAACATAATTACTGACATACAAATTTAAATGGATAATAACTGATTAAGCATTACAGCTGTACCTGAAAGGCTTGGAGACTGTGGGAACTGTACAATGAACTTACACAAGTAAGTTCAAAAGGTTAATATTTCGTGTTTATTTTCTAGTGGTCAGTGTTCCTGGCTACAGATCCAGAGGTCCGGGTTCGATTCCCGGCGCTACCAGATTTTTTTGAAGAAGAAGTAGTGGGTCTGGAACGTAGTCCACTCAGCCTCGTGATGATAACCGAGGATCTATTTCAAGGAAATAGCGGCTCCAGTCTAGAAGCCCGAAATTAACGGCGTTGGGGATTCCTTTCACTGTCCATGTGACACCCTCTATCTGCAAAAGTTGGCACTAAACTTCACCGACAAGCGGCGGTCGCTCGGTCAGTATAGTTCACTTGCGGACTACAATCACGGAGTTTTTTTTTTTTTTGTTTATTTTTATTAGCATAATACTGAATTCTAATTGAAGAAGTAAACAAGATGGAACTAAATCTAATAGAGTTGGAAAGGTGTACCCCAGTATTGAGTACTCACATGTTCCAAACATGTTATTTGTGAATTTCCATAACTAAATAGCACTGCTGTCTGTGCTCTTTCACTGCAAATAAAAATCTTTTGTTGCAAAGAAAAGGAACATCATTGCACAAAAATATACATTATTTCTCTTGAAATTTACTCAAATATATGCTACACCAAGAAATATTTCAAATAAATTTGTGCATCTTAATCCTTCACAGATTTTATTTCTTCTAAATAATATATAAAAATTCAGTTCATTATATCTTTGCTACAAAGACCAACCTGTAAATGCTTTTTGGGGGACAAATGCTGTTTATTGTGAGAACCACAGGAAACATACAAACACACTCTGTGCACAGAATGCGGAATTTGGTGTGTTAAATTGAGTGGTACATACACTGATTACTGGGCTTTAAAGGGTTAGTGATGTGCATATTTCAGATTATGTTATAATTTCCTGTAGAGTGAGCCACTTCCAACAAAGCTGATACTGACTTGAGCTTCATGTAAAGAGAGGTTACATGATGTGGCCAAACTAAGCAGAATGTGCAGTGGGCTTGACTGAGTGTACTAACTTAAATAAATATGCATGCATCACCCTCCCTCCTAACAGTCTGCCCAACCACTGCCCTGCTACTTGCCATGCTTCTTATCATGTAGAAACCATAGGCCAGGTATGAAAACATGTCCCATACCAATATGAACCAAAATAAAATAAAAAAATCTATAGAGTAGTTCCAGACATAAAACATGCAGATAGGTAAGCCCTCACCATCATATGTCCATCCTATTAAATTTGTACAAAGAATGCAAAGAAAGTCACAGTGTCACTTTCCTTACTCTGACCTGTCAAAAGGTTCTGGATTCTCTTAGAGCCTGTGTTGAACTTTCTACAGTGCATACAAACAGTCCTGACTCACCCTGCCCTCTGGGTTCTTGTCAGGGTGGAACTGCTGTGCAAGACGGTAGTACGCTTTCCGGATAGTAGCCTCTTCATTTTGCACCCCACGTTGCAAGCCCAGAACCTCATAAGCATCGTCGACAGACATAACTGGGGGTTTCTTCTCCACTTCTTTCTTCCATGCATCAAGCACGTCTTTCAGCAGTTTAACCTATTAGACAAAGCACTGAAAATGTTCATATCGCTTCCACTAGCAGCAGCAAAGTGACAGCATCTGCGGCACCAGCAGCATTTTACTCACAGGTTCACTGATTGGCCAGTCTGGGAAGCGAGTGCTGTCGCATAGATGACGCAAGTAGAAAATGTTGCAGAACAGTTCCTCATCAAGCTGGGGATAGCGCACAGCTGGTATCGCACAGTACTGATACAGAGCTCGTGTGTTGCTTCGTAGTCGTGGACTGAATTCTGCTATGTGTGCAGCAACCTTCTCTATTAGCAACCTCCTATAAGATGAGCAAATAAAAATGAGTAACTTATCAGAATTATATGCTTACAATGGTACACAACAAAACGTTTTATGCCCAGTACAATGGTTTAATTATGCATGGTGCAAATTGTCTTATCAGTGAGAAAGATTTATGTATAAAAACCAAGAGTGTGGTATAAACCAAATTTTTTAGTTTGATTCTGGCAGGGGTCTGCAGTGTTCAGGCTGGTTCTGAGGGCCATTCAAACTCCTATCCATGAGTACCAGGGACTGTACCCCTGAGGGACAACTGGCTGGGAAATGAAGCTAACCACTCACCTCCATCTCGCTCTCAGGTTAAGAGTGTGGAAATATACATCCACTCTCACATGTATTCATGTTGAACCATTCAATTAAGTACAGGGACAAGCTTACCTTTACATTTTACTTTATTTGTTTGAAGGCATAAATGATTTAAACATGTAAAAGCACCCAGAAGGTCAATATCTCAACATGGAATGGACCATAATGGGTAGTGTTGACAGAATGTCACACTAAGCTCTGTTTCCACATACAAATATAAAGGTGCAGGCCAATCTGAACCAATAAAATGAAAGTGTACTAGAGAATGCCCACAGAAGTTTTTAACTTTCACTTATGTCACCACAAGTATTGATGTGTGTCAAAGGTTTCTGCATCTGGTGCAATGACCTTGACATGTTTGACTATATGGTATTCACTTCCGTCTCGCAGCTGTGATTCTGTAACCATTTTAATATCTTTCTTTTTAAATGGTCATATGATGACAAGGGATTTCTTTTAGTACTAATTTTATACAATTGCAAGATGGATCCTATTTGAAACATTAATTAAACAAAATAAGAGTTTCAACTAAATTAAGATCCTTCGCAGTTTTTATGTAATTTTCTGTGTATATCCACTTGAAGATGATGATTTAGTGATAAAACAGCATGTGAAGCTGTGTCTGTGTGATGATGTACACTTCATCTGTAAGTTTGCAAAAAGCAGGAAACAACATCAAACTGGATGTAAAACAGTGTCTGTGTGATGATGTACACTTCATCTGTAAGTTTGCAAAAAGCAGGAAACAACATCATATATCAGATGAGACAAGATTAATATCTGCTGAAATGTTTTTCCATGAGGCAGATAACAGGTTATACCTGGTTCTGACATGAAAGAAATAATCATAGAAGTTCATGTTTCACACATAACAGACTTTATTCATGAAAAACAAGAAGGGAAAGAACTAGAAGTGTAATTCTTTGAGACCAGAACAAAGCAGTTCAACCAGATAATGAAAGACACCAGGAAGAGAGGAAAGAGCTTGCGAGAAACTGACAAGGAAAGCTTGTAAGAGGAAAGAATAAAATGGAGACTTTTCATCCATTAACCCATATAAACAAAAATGGTGCTATGAGAAGGAGATTAACATAAATGGAGCACCTGATGATGGCACTATGTTGCCGAAACATGTTGTGAAATAACAGGTGAAACTGAGTGCACTACAAGACGGACACGGCATACATATCATGGATGAGACCAAAGATTATATACAGACAAAAACTGAAAGTATGAGCTACAACAAAATCCACTACCCCTAACCTAGAAATTATAAACATCAATCCAGAAAAAGAAGTAAAATGTGTGGGCCAAGCTGTAAAAACATGTACAGATTCTGAAATACTCTTAACAAGACAACTAGATCTAACAGTGACGATAACAACAAACTTAATTCTGCTAGAGACTTGCCTCATTTCTGCATTCCAAATAGCCTCAGGTGTGTCAAACTCTCCTAGAAAGATCTGTGCAAACTTCTCTGCCCCATGGTTCTCCAAGTAATTCACCATTGCTTCTGGCAGCAACTGACCCAGTATACTCCTCTGCATGATTTCTGACAGCAAGGTCTATGAACAAACATGAAATGATGTACTTCAGTTCACCTGACCTTGTTCAGTAATTCCCAAACTGAGCACTATCATTCCTACTGCCTCATCTTCCATAATCTACAATTTCAGACAGCCGAAAGTTTACACGGTTTAAATTAGCATAAAATTTATTCAGATGGACTTCAACAAAGACATGATATTAAACTCAACTCTCACATGGTTAAAAAGAGTGAATTCAGAATTTTAATGGTGAAACCACATGTAAGTGGCAACTGAGAGGCAAGGACAAAATGGAAGGCTACTACTAAACCAGACCATGATGTGAACTGGACCTAATTGCACTTCCTCCGAAACAATAGTAACCATCTACTGAACTACATGGGTGTCTTGAGAACCTCTACCTGGTTCAGATTACTGTCCTCTGGGATGTGACACCATGTAGTCTGGTAAACACATACCAGTGTTTCAGAGATACATGCTGCCTCCATCTTCAGAGTAGAATTATCATGAGAACAAGGTGCTGAGGAAAACATCTGGACCTAAAAGAATGCAAGTAGCAGAAGATTTGAGATTCTAATGATGGTGACTATGATATGGTATGCAGTCAAGCAACAGTTTCCTCCAAAACGTCAGTGAACACCTACCAGACTACAGGGTACCACACGCTACAAGACAGTTCATAACCACTGTTGCTGAGAACCCAAAATCTCATACAAGACTGTGTGACAGATGGTGGGCATTGGCGTTAGTCTTGTCGAATCTTCAGTTTCTACTGTCAGCAGGACTCATATACAGGCATATAAGATGAATAGCTGGTAAAATGGTCCCACATTTTCAATTAAAATTTTTAATTTTGGACTATGTTTGCCAGGTAGGATGACTGTAAAATTAGAGATTATACGCCAACACGCAGAAATTGCAATTGAGGCTTGTTGTGAATGCTTCATATTTTCTGTCCCACATGTGAACTTGTGTCAAAATCTTAAAATTCACTTTTTACTTAAGTTTAATTTAATTTCTGCAGTTCACCACTGATGTGAAAAATAATTTTAAAATTAAAAAAAAAAAAAGTTAATTTAAGGTTGTTAACACAAGTTTTCCTCTGAGATGGTGATTAAGAAGTGATAAATGACATGCAACACGATGTTACGGTACAACACTGCTGTGAACAACTTGGCTAATATCAAGTGGGTAATCAGAGAATACCACTTGTACTATTAACGCCATCACAGGTAGCTGTCTGGATTGCAGCTTGGCTCTTGTGTTTGTTTATGCTATATAAACTGTTGCAAACAGCATGTGATGTAGAGTTCAAGCTGACAACTTTGCAGTTATGGTAAATGTGACCATGCTACCCCACCAGGCATTACTTAATTATAATCTGTATGTTAATTATGTATTCCACACATGTGTTGCCATTAGAAATAATTCCTATGGGAATTATGTGATGCGTAACAGTTCTTTAACAACATGCAGCATTTACAGATTGCCACTACATATGCTATTAGGACAACATTAAAATTGATCCTTACTTACTCATGGAGCTGAGCCCTTCTTGAGGAACTGCCAATTCTGCAGCTACTCAAGAATTTCCCACCATTTTATGGAACCCAAAGGTTCATTACCGTGTTCACAAGAGCCCTCCACTGGTCTCTATCCTGAGCCAGATCAATTCAATCCATACCATTCCATTCTATCTCTCTAAGATCCATTTTAATATTGTCCACCCACCTATGTCTTGGTCTTCCCAGTAGTCTCTTTCCTTCTGGCTTTCCCACCAATATCCTATATGCATTCCTCTTCTCCCCCATTTGTGCTACATGCCCTGCCCACCTCATCCTTGACTTGATCATTCTACTTATACTTGGAGAAGAGTACAAGTTATGAAGATCTTCATTATTAAAATGCATCCTACGGAAATTAACTGTAAGGATGAGAAGTGGACAGGGCACAACAATGGTACACGTTCAGGATTTAGTTATACCACCTGCATGAGCTGTTCTACTTACATCACTCCCTTTGAAGGCCTGCTTGGTGTGGGTCAGCTGCAGGAAGTGGGCCACAGGTAAGACATTTGACCCAGTGTACATGAGGATGAAGTAGAATACCCCAGTGAGATAGAGGGTGGAGATGTTCGGATTGTCTCTCATCACCTCACACAGCAGTGTTGCCACTTTCTCCACCAGCACAGGATCAAAGGTCAGCAACAACTGAACCAGATGTGGCAAGCACACAGTATCAGACAGCAGACGCTTGACTCGTGGGAGTGGTCGGATGATGGCATCATCAGCATCTCTGTCAACAGACATGTCATATTATTAGCGATGTTTAGTATGCATATAGAGAGTGGAGGTTAACACCATACATTCTAGATGTAGGTGAGTGGTCAGCATGTTGCCAGTCACAGATTTATATATACTGCTATTGAAAGGGTACTAATCAGTGTCCTCATCATATGAATTTCAAAATTATAAGAATTACAAATGACTGAAGCACACTTTATAGTATATTTAGCATCTGCTGCTGGTGAAAGGCTTTAGTCAGTATGTGTTATTAATATATGAAACTAAAGTTATCATAAATGGCACTATCTTATACCTCAAATAACACCTTTAATGATTCCATTCACAGGGGCAGGCTTTAAAGTGCAACTTTTTGTCATGTTCATAGCCTGGTGGTGTGGTATTATCCACCATCCATGAAAATCACACAGCTCTACATCACCCTGAATAATAGAGAACCTCATACACAACACATCCACTCTACACCATAACAAGACTCTGTGTACAATCCACTCCATAGTTCAAGAGACTGCAGTGTACTGGCCATACAAACTATCAATTGAAAAAACAAATAATTCTGAACTGATTTTAATGAAATTCAACAATAATTTATAACTAATTTTCACCAAGTTTCAGAACAATGAACTAAAAGAGGCAATACAGTGCAGCAATTACACAAAAATATCTACTTGAAGATGACCTTACAAGGTCAAATATGTTGTAGAAATAACATCTGTAATACATGACAGCACGGTATAGTTCGCTTGTGGACTAATATCACGGAGTTTTTGTTTATTACATGACAGCAGAGCACACCACCAGTCTACAAAACACAACAAGCAGCAGCACCTTCAAAATTGGCCCTGCAAATCATATCATTAACCGATGCAACAGAATGATGAAATACAATATTAATACCTTATTCCGTACATCGTTCATAATTCTCATATTATCCCACACACCATAAGTCATGATGTCACATAATATTAAGAGCAGAGTTCAACATCTTTTGGCTCCACTGTAGAAAACTACTTCAAAGCCTCTGCCATTGAACACTACAGACTTTTTAAAAAAATATCACCACATGCAAACAGACTTGTTCAAACATACTACTTATCTAATTTCATTACACAACTTGTAACAGAGATCCAACTAGTATGAATTTGATATGAAATAATCAGTTTGGTAGGGACAGCGAAATCTCAATTTAGTGTTCCTACATTCAATAATCCCCCTCGTTGGTGTCTCCACCTTATCGTGGTGAGGGGGTTTGAGTATGCCAAGGACCCTGAGAGCTATACCAGCGGCAGCGTAGCTACTGGCAGGGCCTCCCTTGCTGGACAGGTCAAAGGGTAGGCATCAGACGAAGAGAGACACCAAAAACTGATGCCGGAAGCAGCGTCATCAGTAGTG